CCCAGAAGACCAAAAAAAAAAAAGCAATATGATTGGAGAAACACCATCCTCATAATCAAAGATGCGATAAAAAGCATGCTAGGAGATGCTACGATGAAACGAGATTTTGATGAAGATGCCAAGGTTCTGGCTAAACCTGTTGAAATCATCCAAAAGGCCATATTTAGGTTCACTGGCTGATTCTAACCATAATATCAGGAAAACTCTTTAATATCTAGCCTCAAATTACTCATCTCTGTGCTCCTGAATGGTTTCCACTTGAAAGATCAAGACAGATATGAATCCCAAGCTTGCCTTACCATAATATGGATTATTGTTTACAGTACAAAAAGAAATCATTAGAACATGTAGTGTACCCAAGACATACGCTGCTACGAGACCCTCTTAGGCTTAAAGATGTATGCCCTGACAAGAATTTCAAAGATCATCTAGTAGATGTATCAAGCGGCATTTCCTATGATCGGGTTATAAATTTGGGAAGGGGGAATAATATCTTGCTATCATGAAGAGTTCGCTGTAAAGAAAAACAATTTTGAAACGAATTCTCAGGTCAACAATAATAATCAATATTGTATTTTTTAGCCAAATTATAATTCTAACTAAAATAAGATGCCCAACTTGCCAAAATTAAGGATAAAACAGTAAATGAAAAATTTTAATCCTGCTTCTTGGTTATTTTGGCTTCAGAGAGTCTCAAAAAACATTTTGGTGCTTTTATCAACCGTATAACGCTAACTTTGCTAAGCCACCTGATTGCGAATGTGATGGCTATTTGATTGTGTGTGTTTCTATAGCAAAGCCACACCGGGCTATCTGCTGTGTCCACCGACAGGAATCGAACCCCTGAGTTTAACGTTGTAAATCCGTAGACTTACCACTGTCTCACTGGGGGACGATGGCTATTTGAACCATAGGTAATTATTTTCTCAAAATATTAGTATTTGATAAGTAGGCTTACGACAGCATCTGGAAAACGCTACAGTGGTTATTGATTTAGCACAAAGCTACATGCCCCCAGTGGCGCAGCAGTATGTCTGCGGACTTACAACGCTAGAAACCGGGTTTCGGTACCCGTGGTGGGCAGAGCACAGATAGCCCATTGTGTAGCTTTGTGCTTAATTCCAAACAAACAAACAAAACAAAGCTAAGAAAAGTTCCGATTGCAAGGTGATCGTATAGTTTCTAAATCTTCAATACATTTATTAATTTTTTGTAAATAAAACTAAATTAATTCAGTGAAAAAATATTTTCAAACACATTAAGTCTAAAGTTACTTGTTTTTGTAATAATTTAATTGAAAATTAGAGGTTTAATGTCTATATTATTTACTAAAAATTCGATAAAGTAAGCCACTCTCGCCGAATCTTCGTATAACATGAAATACTCACTTTCACTAACAGCCATTGTTACTTCCGTAAAAAAATCAATACGTCATCGACGTTAACCTGCAAAGAGAAAAATAATTTATATGATATAAACATTTATATATCTATGCAGACAGTGTATGCATATACATACATAAGTGTGCAAATTTATTACAATACCCCATTGTTCCTGTACTTCTACTTTGTTGTGCCTATGAAATAAAACTTTGTAGTTTAAAATGTTTAAAAAGCATCAAAATAGGCAAGTCATAGATGTTCCCATTTTAATCAGACTTTAATATGCTACACATATAACGAACTTAACATTTTAAGCGAAAATTAAAACATAGCCATGAATCATTAAGTGCAATAGATTCTATAAAAGTTGCTCAAGATGCCAAAGCTAATTACAAAGAAGTTCAAAATTGCCATACGTGATAGCTTTTAGTTTCTGTGCCAGTCATCACTGGTAAAAAGTGGAGGTTTTCACGTTCTGAGTGTTTCATAGATATACAAGAATAACTTCTTTTTCAAAAGCATCGTGCAATACAGCTAATATGGTGTGGTCTTGTCACTAGAAACCCAAAACAGTGAGAATTAACACCATTTGACTGAGTCAAAGTCAAATCATTACATGATGCTGGTTGGAATCTAAGAAACATTGCAAAATACCTCAGCTATTCACCAAGCACTGTGAATGACACGTTGGAGAGATACAAAGAAACCCAATCATATAACATCAGACAAGACAGATGACGGAGAAGAAAGCTCACTGAAAGAAATGTTAGATATATAAAAATCAACTTACAAAAACAGAAGGAAAAACTGCAAAAAATGTTGTTGAGGACGTCAATAAGCCACGTACAGATAAAATTTCAATGAATACAGTCTCAAGAACGCTGTAGAAATGTAGCCTTTGCGGAAGAGTAGCAGCAAAAGAGAGAATACAGCAAAGAAACTAGCTTTTGCAAAAGAACATGTATCATGGTCTTTGGAACAATGGCATAAGATGTTTTGGTGAGACGAGTTTAAGTTTAAAACATTTGTCTCAATTGATATGCGTATGTTTGCCGAAGAGCCGATGAAAAGTTGCAGAAGTGCCAAAAGTCAAGCATGCAGGAGGCTCTGTGATGGTTTGGGGAGCAATATCTGCGAATGATGTTGGCCATCTTCAAAAAATTGACTGCTTAATGAATCAGCATAAGTACCAAAGTGTATTAATCCATCATGCTATATCCTTTAGAAAGAAGCTGATTGAGCAAAATTTCATATTTCAAGAAGATAATGACCACAAATACATTTCCAAGAAATGTCGAGCTTATCTGACAAAGAAAGAAAGCTGAGGATGTCTCCAGGGGATGAAAGGGCCACCACAAAGCTCATATCTTAACTCATTGGAATAAATATGATATGTGCTGGACTCCATGCTTGACAAGAGTACCAAATGTACTAAAGAAAACCTCTGGAATCAGCCAAAAGAAACGTGGAATCAAACCCCATGGTGCAAGTTTTTTCCATGTTTCTTGAAGCTGAACAAAATGCCTGAAAGATTCCAAGCTGCTGTTGGTGTCAAAAGTGCCCACACTAAATACTATCATTAAATAAACTTAAATATGTTATCAATTTACTATTTTTGTAATGGTTTCCAATGCGATTAATTTGTATTATATATTAAATAATTTCGATAATAATCAATGACTATTTTGTGTGTAAGGTTCATCAGTTGTTGAGATGTTCTAATAAACCTGCACAGTACTGTAAATATGCAAGTATTTGTATGAGCATGCGAGTGTGCAGTGGCTATATAAAATGAGCTTATTTACTCTGTAGAAATTTAACTCAGACGATTTGTGTAGATTTACAGACGGACAGGAGTATTAATGGAAGGATGGGTGGGGATTAGTACTCACAAATAAAAACGTTCGAACTATTACAGTGGGTAGAATAATTGATTGTAAGTCCTAAACGAGAGCATTGAATGAAAGTTAATTAACTCACGAACTGAGCTATGAGTTCTCTCAAGACTTTACAGTTGCTTATCTGTCCAGTTCCTCCACAACCACACTAGAAACGTATTGCTTTTGCTCTGTGTCTGAGATGATGACCCCAAATCAGTAAGACATGTTATATGAAATTACGAACACCAGATTTCAGTACTTATATTATTTATTTATTTTGGCTAGCGAAACTAGAGAAGTCACTGAATTTTAGATGAAACTAGAACACTGACTATTTTGTTCGATCAACTTCTAGAACTCATGTACTGAAGCGTGAAGGTGTTTCAGTTTGTAGTTATCAACTATGAAAAAACGTATGTCATAAATGTAAAGTTTTTGTTTAATGTTCTAACATATAGTTGATTTATTAAACAAAATACTGTAGCGTGTACCCCGTTGGGTCAGTGGTCAATTCACAAACTTACAATGCTAAAATCCAAAGTTCGATTCCCCGCGGTGGACAAAGCGCAGATAGCCCATTAGGGGAATACGGTCACAAACGCTAGCGAAGTGCCCCTTTGAACGGAGAATAGAGAGTTTAATATAACCCTCAGGGTTTGTTTGTTTTGGAATTTCGCGCAAAGCTACACGAGGACTATCTGCGCTAGCCGTCCCTAATTTAGCAGTGTAAGACTAGAGGGAAGGCAGCTAGTCATCACCACCCACCGCCAACTCTTGGGCTACTCTTTTACCAACAAATACTGGGATTGACCG